AATCATCACTAAACCAAACATGCACGTGAGCCTCCGAAATCTTCCTTTTTTTCCCTAACTTCCCCAGGATATCTCCTCCTCTTCCCCAGCCCATGCAGCTCCGGGAGCACACCTCCCCTGTCGCTGACAGATGCCATACAGGCTACCAGGGGTGAGCGCCCACCTGCCTCCAGACTCCTGAGGGTTGCGTGGCGTGGCCTCCTGCTCTTTGCTTTCCGGGCACGCCTTCCTTCTGGGTCCTCTTCTCCCACCTCCTCTGAACCCTTCCTCCCATTTAACAGGGTCTCCTCCTCGTCTATTCACTCTACTCTGCCTGCGTTTCCCCTGCTGGGAGCCAAGCCCAGTCCTCCCCTTGTCAAACACACGCCCCTTCCACGAATTTCATGCTCCACTGCCAAACATACCAGGCACTGTGCCCTTCCCCACCCTCGCCAACTCTTCAAATCCATGATGTCACGACCTCTTTGACCCCAGGCCACCTGCCGTCTACTCCTACCAGCAGCTGAAACTACTTACATCCAGTCCGAACAACCTCTTTACCTGTATAGTTCTCACCTGCCACACACCTCCAGCTACATCTGACCACACTGATCACTTCCCAGGATGAGGGGGTCCCTGGATACTCACCTGACCCTCAGAACACTTCCGTGCAGGAGCTACTGTTATCACTAACCCCAGTTCGCAGCTGAGGAAGCTGAGACACGGCAATCTAGTAACTAGCCAGGATTCAAACCCAAAGCCTACACTCTTCGCACTGGGCCCACCACCGTGCCTCCTTCCTAAAATCAGAGCGCTGTCAGTGCAAAGCAAGGACGACAAATTTATGTAAAGACTTCTTTAGCTAAAAGGATTCACCAAAACGGTTTCAAAATCCTAACTATCTAACTACGGGATCCTAAGGACTTGTTTGAAAACTACCCCTCATAGAAAACCGTAAGGCTCTGCCTACACTTGCGGAATTTAGACTAACCAAGCAACCTAGTAGGCGCGTTATCCACGAGCCTGCAGGGCCTGCGGAGGCAGCCACCCGACCCACGTGTGCGCGGCCGCGTCCACAGCTCTAGGGCCGTTCCCAGGACCGAGCCCCCTCCCCGCCCAGGCAGCCTTTGTCTGCAGCGGGCGTGCGCTCCNTTGCCGCGCTAGGCCCCAGCGGTGCCGCTTGTGGGGTGCACGGTCGGGGTCACCAACTCGTCCCGAGTCCGTGGGGACTGTGGCGCCACCTCCAGTCTCAGCTAAGCCCAGGCCCGCGCGAAGGCCCGGGGAACCGTCATGGGAGCGGCCAGAGTCCCCACCCCCAAGACACCCGTCAAGTGCAGGGCGGCCGGTGGGCTCCTGCCATCGGTCTGCCCCCGGGGACTGCGGCGCAGGGACACGGAGACACGCGGGCGCGACCCCGGGCACTGCGGCTTTATTGGCCCTGAGGCCACAGCGGGCGCTACTGCAGGAGCTGCCTCATGGCGCGCAGTGACGGGCCCCGGTACTCCCGCCCGAAGTGGTTCCAGTGGTTCAGGTAGTTGAAGAGCTGGTAGAGCAGCAGCCGCCCCTCAAAGCCCGGCGCCTTGGGGACCTTCCGGTGGTAGGCGCTGAAGAAGGACCGGGGAAAGCCCCCGAACATGGAGGCGATCGCCAGCTCGAACTCAGAGTGGCCATAGAAGGAAGCCGGGTCGTACACGAGGGGCCCCGCATCGTTCTCGGCCACGTTTCCCGACCACAGGTCCCCGTGGAGCAGGGCGGGGACGATCTGCAGGTCGCGGAACAGACCCGGGATCTTCACCTGGGAAGGTAAGGACCGCACTGTCACCGCAGGACTCTGGGGGCCGCGTCCCGTCGCGCGTCCAGCCCGTGTCTGCCGGACCCAGAGACAGTCCAGGGGAGGCAACCGTGTAACTCGGCACCTGCTGCTAGTTGAAGCCCAGAAGCTCCACAGTGCTGGTGACCTCCATTCGGTAAGGGACCGCGGGGGCTAAAGTCTTATGGTCCTGTAGAACATGAGTGTGAACTGGCTGTGCCCGTACCGGGGCAAACTCGCCCCCATTCTCCTGTTTCACTGCACATATATATCTGCACCTCTTTTGTATCCTGCTAGTTACTACATTAACGAGTTTTGTAAAATTTCTTTGCTCACCCTGGACTGATATAGGAATTCTGTTAACCTTTTGACAGTTGTTTGCAAACCAGTCACTGTGGGACTTCTGGTGCCCACGTCTTCACTAAGGGGTGAGCCCCGTGTGCTTTGGCCGAGGAGGAAGGACAAGGGTGGAGAAGGTTACTAGTGATCAGAAAATGGTGAGTTCTGCCCTTTAAATACCAGGTGACCCAGCAGATAACAAGTGCACTCAGGAGCCAGGTTCCTGGCTCAGTTCCTGCCCGGCTTTGGATTCCCTGTCAGGCCAGCAGTCAGGCACTAATGTGTCCACAACTTGACCAGCTCAGGGTTTCCTACCCTGACTCAGTTCCACCAGAGAACCCCACGCACATGTGGTGGGCTTGTGAGAGGACAGCCTCTTTCCCGGAGAAGTAACCTCTCTGCCCACCTGTAGCCTTGACCAGAGTTCTCGAGCCTCTCGGTCAGCGTAGTCCTTCTCAATGAGGTCCAGCTGTGCTTGGAGCCGGTACTGGGTGAAAAAGGTTGGCCAGTCGTCCTGCCACTCGTTCACCTGAACAAGAGAAAACATGCTGCGACTGAGCTGCGGGACAGTTCTGCACAGAACCCACATAAACCCCAGAAAAACCGCTGCAAGAACGCAGCAAATCCTATAGCTAGTAAGCCAACAAAGAAGGCAAGAAGGAGTCATAAAATAGTTAATCCAAAAGAAGGCAGATGGAGGGGAAGCAAACAGAACAGACTTGACAGGTCTAGTAGGGAGGATTGATCTGGCTCTCCACACAGATGTCATATGAGGACGCAGCGAGAAAGCGACCATCCTGCAAGCCAGAGAGCGGCCCTCACTGGAAACCACACGGGCCAGCACCTTGATCTTGGACTTCCAGCCTCCAGAACTGTGAGAGATACATTTCTGTTGTTTAAGCCCCCCACTCCATGGTATCTCGTATGGCAGCCCCAGCAGACTGAGACATAGCCTGACATTTCAATCCTCCTTAGTAATAGAACAAGTAGGCAAAAAACAGTAAGTATATAGAAGATTTCAACACCACTATCATCTAAATAGAATGGACTGGCACTTAATAGAAAAGTCCACCCAACAAGAGCCTTATCTTCTTTTCAAGTGCACATGGGTCATTTACCAAGATAGACCATATTCTGGACCATAAATCTCAATAATTGAAAAGATTAAGTCATACAAAGTGTATTCTCCGACCACAGTGAAACTAAATGAGAAATCAACACACAAATCCCTGGGAAATCCCCAAATGTTTGAAACTAAATAACACACTTCTAAATCCCATGGTTCTGGAAGAAATCTAAAAGGAAATTAGTATATTGAATTGAATAAAAATGAAAACACAGCTTATAATTTGTGGGATGTTGCTAAAGCAGTACTTAGGGGGAAATTTATAGCACTAAATGTCTGTATCAGGAAAGATCTCAAACTGCTGACCTCAGCTTCTGCCTCAAGCAACTAGAAAAAGAAGAGCACATTAAACCTAACACAAGCAGAAAAAAGTGAAATAATAAAGATCTAAGCCGAAACAAGTGAAACAGAAAACAGAGAAAAAATAGAGAAACCCAGTGTACAAAAAGCTTGTTCTTATGACCAAGGTCATGTGTTCAGATCCCCATACAGGCCAACCATAAAAAAAAAAAAAAAAGCCTGTTCTAGCCACAGATTGATCAGGTGAAAAATGGGAAAGACACATTACCAATACCAGGGATGAGAGAGGTAACATCGATGCAGATTCTATAGATAGTGAAAGAATGATAAGAAAATACTTAAAAAACCTTGTGCCAAGAGATTTAACAACTCAGATCAAATTGACAAATTCCTTGAAAGATACTACCAAAGCTCAGCCAAGAAGAAATAGATAATCTGAATAACCCTATAAATTGAATCTGTAGTTAAAAACCTTCCCACAAAGAAAATTCCAGGCCCTCACCAAGGTCAAGGGTTTCGATCCCTATACTGGCTAGCCGCCAAAAAGAAAAAGAAAATTCCAGACCTAGATGGCTGCTCTGGTGAATTCTAACATTTAAGGCAAAAATACCAATTTTACATAAACTCTTCCAGAAAATAGAAGAGATGGAATACATACCAACTCATTCTATGAGGCCAGCATTACTCTTATACTAGAACCAGACAAAGTCAAGTAAACTACAAATGAAAATCCTCCATAAATATAAATGCAAACATTCTAAACACAACTTTAGCAAATAGAATCCAACAATATGTAAGGATAATACATCACGACCAGGTGTGGTTGGTTTCATATTCAAAAAGCAATCGATGTAATTAACCATATTAACAAACTAAGAAAAAATCATATAATCACCTTGAAAGATACAGCAAAAGCATTTGACAAAAGCCAACATCCATTTCTCAGAAAGCTCTGGGAAAACTAGGAATAGAAGGGAACTTTTCAATCTAATAAAGAACATCTAAAAAAAAAAATGTACAGCCAACCTCACACTTAATGGTGAAAGACTAAATGCTTCCCCCCTA